TCTTTTTTAATTAGTCCATTTAGTTTTCTTTGTATAACACGATTATTTAAGAACACATTTCACATTGTAATTTCCCGTACAAAAATAAGAATTTTCCATTTAAGCTCCGCCCCTCGGCTTACGACGAATAAAAAAATCATCAGAATTGAGATAGGGCGGGTGGGCGGGGCTTATATTTTGCCGCTTGTTTCTTAATATACATAGCCATATTTTCACAACAAGAAACTTGGAACATTGTTAAATGGTACATTTTTGCAAGGAAATGTGGATTTTGCAATTATGGGACGGAGCCTAACTGCAAAATCGATATTTCCCTATACAAATTTTCTATTTCAACCATGTTTTCATTCAGTTTCATGTTGCGAAAAGAAGTCTACACATATTACAAAAAAAAAGGTATAATGTATGCCCCCCCACCCGCCCTATCTCAATTGTAATGATTTTTTTTATTCATCGTGAATCAAAGGGGGCAGAGTTTAACTGCAAAATATTTATTTCTCTCCAAAAAATTATAAACATGTTTTTTAGTATCGTGTTGTTCAAAGAATACTAGGTATATTAAGAAAAAAAAAAAAAAAATAAACCCCGCCCACCCACCTAATCTCAATTGTGATGCTTTTTTTATCCTTAGAAACTTAAAACACGTTCAAAATGGTAAATTTTTTGTAAGGAAACATGGATTTTGCAATTAGGCTCCGCCTCTAGGTCTACCAACGAATGAAAAAGATAGGTATATGTGGGCTTAATCTTTGGCTTTAATTTTTTCTTAATGTACATAGTATTCTTTACACGATACTCAAAAACATGCTTTACATGGTATTTTCTTCTAGGGTAATAATAAGAATTTGTCAATTAAATTCCGCTCGTTTGGCTCTCGGTGATTTGGAAAAAATCATCAGGGTTGAGGCAGGGCGGGTGGGCGGGGCTTATATTTTGCCGTTTTCTTAATATACACAGTTGTCTTTTCAGAACAAGAAACTTATAACATGTTTAAAATGGTAAATTCTTATAGACAAATATGGATCTTGCATTAAGCTCCGACCCTCAGCTTACGACGAATAAAAAAAATCATCAGAATTGAGATAGGGCGGGTGGGTGGGGCTTATATTTTGCCTTTTTTTTCTTAATATACATAGCCATCTTTTCATATGGATTTTGTAATTATGGGGTGGAGCCTAAATGCAAAATCGATATTTCCTTATACAAATTTTCAATGTTAAACATGTTTTTATATCGCACTATACTATTTATAAATCGAAATAAATATGCAATGTTAAAAATGAAGTATGAAAAAAATTCGAAAAATAAATACAGAAACTTCAAATAAACTCTGTAAATATAAAATTAAAGACAAACTTCCTACTTAGTAGCTCTTGGGCTTAAAGTAAAACAATTTTAGAAGAAACAGAGAATAATTCGTAATTTCATCAAATTAATTTTTTTAATTGTATATAATTCGCCACAAAGGGATATAATACTACCTTAGGTGGGTAATGTTGTGATTGAAGCAAATTTTTGTGTTGGCAGCAATGCTAGTGTGTCAATTCCAGAGACTTTAAATACATAGACTGGCTGTTAGTAACATTTTTAATGCATTTTGGTGAAGCCACGGCGCATGGTAGTATGGACGCCATTGCTATAACTTTTATGTCAAATTAAGTGAGGTTGTGGTGGTTAGCAGTAGTAGTCTAGCACAGAACGTTTCTAGACCTCGAAATAAAAGTGGTTGTGTGTCGGGACTTACGAGATTGTTTGTAAATATGGCCATTAAAAATGATTTGGTAACTAAAATGTTTACCTTAACTTTGCAAAGTAGGACCATACATTTTTTTTCTACATAATGAACATGGATTAGTTGGACGTAAAAAATTCTTATTTTAATTTATTGCTTAAATTAATTTTGAGAAATTATTTGACTCTCGGAATAGGTTATGAGTGCCGCTTAAGTACTGAGCGTGAAAAAGCTATCTCTTTAAGACAAAAATTCACGAAATTAATTTTGTTTCAAGGACATTAATATTTTTAAAGGAATTTACATATACATATAGATATTATTATGCTAAATAAATAATTACAATTTGTTGTCTTTTTTATTTAACATTTTAAATTGCATTTTGTGACCGGAAAATTCAAATTTCGCGCACTTACGGTTATAAGCAATATGGCGGTCGAAAAACTTCACGTTTTTCCTGACACAGCCAGTCTATGTATTAAAGTCTCTGGTCAATTCAGAGTTGCCGCTTTTGACAGTCAGGTATGTCATAATAAAAATTTGAATATGTTGCCAACTTGACCAAAAAAAACATTAACAATTATCTGACTCAGTATTCGATAGATGTATTAAAAAATGTTACACAATGTGTACAACAATGTACGTCACCATTAAAGTGGCATTTTAGTTGCGATAAACACAACATCGAAGCAACAAGCAATAAATCGGTGAAATTGTCGATAACAATAACGTTCTTTGCATCGACTGTGATATCCATCTTAACCTATAAACCGCTAAATCAAACATTGTAAAAGTGTGTCAGAAAACGTTATTGGTATACATTTGAAAAAGAAATAAGTAAACCAAGCAGCTGTGTATTAATAAAATTGTAATAGTTTCTTTTTGAGAATCAGGTATAGCATCATAAAATGTTAAATATGTTGCCAACCTGACAAAAAAATTCAGAATCATTAATAGCCACCCGGTATTTGAATAATTATTTAAGTCTGCAGTCGATAACTTACTATACCACGTACATGTGCATTATTATAATTAATCATAAATGCCTCTAATGCTTTTAAACTTACCACTAATCTTATTCGGAAATTGTTTATCTTTGATAAAATAAACTAATTAATCAATAGAAAACTAATTAATTAGCTCATTAATTAACTTTCTGACTAATAAGTTAATAACGTAAGTGTATACAAGAGTAGAGTGACAAATTGATTTACGATTTTCAATCAACAAACTAACAATTATGGTGTTCTTTGCGTCAAGCGTGTAAAGCTGGTTGCCTATTCAACAAAATTAAAAACACGCAATTAGCGTATTTTTTTTCATTATACAAATAATGTGGTCAAACTAGCCCCCAAAAATGAATGCCAAAGGCACCCTTTATTGTCGAGCTTTGTATTTAGTGTGTTTATATTATTGCGTTGAACGCTAAGCTGTTTTCATTAGAACGTTTTCCCAAATGACCACACAATATTACGTGATACAATTTGGCAAACTAGTGATTAGTGTGGACTTTAATATTATCCCATTTTGTAATTTTTACTTGTCGACTTTCTATACAAAGCAATTTTTTGAACTGAGAACAGAGCGAAGCAAAAAATTAGATATGCAACTTTATATTCAATTGTGTTAAACGTGTGTCGTTGATGTCACATATATTAAAATTTCTATTGTCGCATTACGATTTAATTAAATTTGTATTTGTTGTTTAAATAGTAATATAAGCATACATTGCAATAATGGGTTTAAAATTCTGTAAACAACGATGCAATAAATATCAATAAGCTACATTTTAATTTAACAGAAGCGTACAGTTGGTTGCATAACCATTAAAAATATATTACTGAATTATTTTATTAACATCCGGTACTGCTACAATCGTTGAATTGAAGCATTTCTTGTTGCAACATTTATTATTTATTATTGCATCACAAATAAAACGAATTAGAGATAGCTGTGAAATAAGTCGTTTAGGTGGTGTTACTGAATCTCACCATTGTCAGTGTCAAAACTTAACTTATTAAAAAAAACGCATCATTGATTCAGCCTCAATCTGTACAACCAAAGTAAAATCAACTCCTGCCTCCAGACTATTTCAAGATAAGACATCCTACCGACAGTTTTGTGGTATTTATTTTATTACTTATACTTCCAGTTTTAAGAAAATGGACCCCTTAGAAGCCGTTTCCAGTTTAAAAGCAGCATTATTGTATTTTCCGACTTCTTATCTCAACGTAAAAAACCCCAATTTAGTTTTATGGCAAAGTTAACTTTCGTAGTAAAGAATATGCGATACAGCTTCGGCAATTCAGTTCTATGTAAACTACGGATGGCTTGTACTTTTGAATCAATATCGCTAGCATCGGTGACAAAGTTTTCACACGAATCGGTCCAGGATTCGCCTAATATATTCTATTTATTGCTGCTGGAGCACCATTTAAATAAGCCCGATGCAGTTTCCTGCTGGATACTTATTGCATCACAATCGAGCGATGCACTAGACCTTGTTTCAGGTTTTCTCAATATTACACGTTTATGGCGCCATAAATTTCGCGTAATGGTGATCTTATGTTAGTGTTTTAGTGTATTACAATTTATTTTCTTTAAGTACGACGAAGAGCTTGTAGTTGCGCAAACATTTGCTGGAATTATTAAAGCAGAAAAACTTGACCACTAGACTATTCGACACATAAACAAAAGAATGGTGAAATACATATGCAAAATTTTGAATGCATTTATTCCGGTCCGGATTCGGCTGTTACCTTGTATAAGACAAATTTAAGCCGTAAATGGGAAAAATTTAATATCCTTACATGTTAGAGCTTATTGCATTATCGTTTATTCCGTGTAAAGTGGGACAAAGCGGCTGTCGTACTTGTGCGAATTCTCCCGTATTAAAGCAGAAAAACAAAGCCGTGTCGTAAAAGTTTTCAATGAAAGCATAATAAGGGCGAAGATTGAATTCTGAATACATGCATGCGAAAAAATTTCAATTCTCACGCAGGTGTGAATATCGTACTCGTGCCGAACAGCCTTTTTGTTCGGTTGTGAAAACGCAAATAAATTTCTTCCATCTCCGAAATCCTCAATACCCACAAGTTCTCTTAAAATAGCTATAAATTCCGGCTACACGGAAAGTAGATGCTTTGGTTATGAAATGATGGATGTATGAATAAGAGGGTGAATGAATTTAGACAACCAGCTATACATTCGTCGCCCGGAAATGACATCGACTTCGACTTTCCGATTAATTTAAAAAGAAATCGCTCACCTGGTCGCTGTCGTTCCCTTGCCAGCTGTCGTTCCCCTGCAATCAAGAAAATTCGTAAATATTAAAATCAAGTCAGACATCAATTACAGATTTTGCGCTGCAGTATTGAAAATTAAGTCGGACTTAATTGCAGCCTGAATATTTAACTCGCGCTGATGGAATAATTTGATCGTGCGATCCTTCTTCCGACTCGGACTTTTTCGTTCTATGTACTTAGTTAAATATTTAGCGGTTAGTTGAAAAAGTCGGCGCTGGCTCGCTGTATATTTAATAAATTAGTAAATATTTTGCACTCTGCGAGTGACGTCAAGCGTTTTTTGCACGAAGTTACATTACAATCCAATTTACTGAATCAACTTTAAGCAAAGACACATAAAGAAACAAGTAAAATTTTTTATTGCGGCTCGGAACGTGCTTACTCCCGAAGTTCCTCTGAGATTTGAGGCGCTGTCGAATAAAGGAGACACCTCGGTACGTGATTTGTCCTAAACCTTTCAAATGAAAGGAAAGGTTGCCATAATTACATCTGCCGCCACTCGTGCTGCCAAGGATTGCATTAACACAAATGGGAGGTAATTAAATCCGTGAAAACTCCCAAAGCGCATGCAAGCGAACATTTCTGCAGAAATTGTATAAAATATACGTGTTCGTACGTGCCTGGACTCGGTAGTCAGAAAAAATTAAAATAAAACAAAATGTTCCTAGTTTAATCGGCTATATAAGGCAAAAATGCGATCGTTTAAGGAGCGACAACTTTTAACAAGATCCAATTTTCTCGCGAGAAGTTTCTACCCCTTTTAGAAATAAAGTTTGATACGAAATACAGTTTCATAACAAGATTTTTTTGCAACATCTTTGAACCTTTTAATTCTGGAGGTGTTGCTAATAATTAATTTCAGTTCTAAGTTTTGATTTTAATACTGGCTGCACATCATTTCTCGTTCATCAAGTGGGCTCTGAAATGCGGTGAAATTTGCCGCTTCATTGAGATCGTGTATACGCTGGGTTAATAATGCGCATGCCCAAAGCTCACGAATCTGTCAATTAAAATAACTTCAGCAGTTCTGTTTGGGCATTTTACGTCGAATAAAAACTTGCTTAAAAATGTCAGCGTGTATATGTTACAGCTAATATCCGAAATCCGTTATTATGCATAATAACTAGACATTTTAGGAATTATGCGTAATAACTAAACTTGTCAGTTATTATGCGTAATAACTGAAATTTTCATTTATTATGCATAATAACGGAAACGTTTAGGTAATATTGATAATAAGTAACAGAGGAACAGGAATTATGCATAATAATAGCTGATTTCACGAAAAACGGAACAATATGAGCAATTCAGGTTCTCATAGATCAATGAAAAGCAATGAGAACATGACGTTTCTGTTACTGTAATGTGTCCCGGTTTTTTTAAATCAACTGTACATGTGATATGTAGGGGAAAGGGAGGCAGGGTGGGTAGCTTTTTTGAAAATATTATGCAAAATTCCTGTTCCTCTGTTAGTTATTATCAATATTACCTAAACGTTTCCGTTATTATGCATAATAACTGAAAATTTCAGTTATTACGCATAATAACTGACAAGTTTAGTTATTACGCATAATTCCTAAAATGTCTAGTTATTATGCATAATAACGGATTTCGGATATTAGCTGTAACATATACATTAACGTAGTTCTAATCAATACGTTGGAAATTTTAGTCACATTTCAGTGCTTTCCAGGTTTGTTTTTGAAATAATTTAAAAGAATCTCAGGGGTTCCAGGTTTGTTTTTGAAACAATTTAATAAAATCTTAGGAGTTCCAGGTTTTTCGTTATTGAAAGAATTTGAAAGAATTCTTGGAAACCCTAGTGTCATTGTTTTAAAAGAATTTAAAAGAATCTTGAGAGCTTCTGTGTTTTGTTTTTGAGAGATTTTGAAAGAATCTGGGGGTTCCGGTGTTTTGATTTTGAAAAGATATGAAAAATATTGGGGCTCTTCGTGTTTTTCTTTGGAAGAATTTGGAAGAATCTTGTTTTATGAAAGCATTTGAATGAATTTCGAAGTTTCCTTCTTGAGTATTTAAAAGAATTTGAGGGATTCCAGAAGTTTTGTTTTTCCAATAATTTGAAAGAATCTTGGGATTCTTATTGTTTTTTTAAGAATTTAAAAGAATCTTGAGGACTCTAGGTTTGTTTTTAAAGGAATTAAAAAAAAAAAAAAACCGGAGTTCCAAGTGTTTCATTTTTGAGAAAACTTGAATGAATTATTGTGGTGTGTTATGTTTGAAAGCATCTAGGTGTTCATGGTGTTTCATTTTTGAAAAAGTCTGAAAGAATCTGGAAACTGAGAAATAGGTTTTTTAAAGATTTTAGAAGGAACTCGGGGGTTCCTAGTGCTTTATTTTTGAAAATATTTGAAAGAATTTTGGAGCCCTTGGTGGTTTGTTTAGGAGAAGTTTGAGAAAATCTTGGAACTTCTGCTGTCCTTTTTTTTATTAGAAGAATTTCCAGGGCTTCTCGGACTTCTTAGTATTTCGTTTTTGAAAGATTCTCGGAGTCCTTTGTATCTTCTTTTTAAGAATTTGAAAGAATTAATGTTGAGGTTTTTTAGTGTTTCGTTTTTGAAAAAAATTAAAAGAATCTTGGGGCTCTTAGTTTCTTTTTATTGAAAAAATTTAACACAAACTGGAGGGTTCATCGTTTTCTTTTTTTTTTTTTGAAAGAATTTGGCGATCCTGGTATTTTGGTTTTGAAAGAATTTGAAAGAATCTCGGGGTCGGTGTTTTGGACTTCCCAGTGTAGTTTTTTGAAACAATGTAAAAGAATTTCAAGAGCCCCAGGTGTTTCTTGGAGGAATTTTAAAAAAATCTCGGGGTTTCCCGAAGTTTTTGTTTTCTGAAAGCATTTGAAAGAATTTTGGGACAGTTTGAAAGGATCTTGGAACTCTTGGTGTCCTTTTTTTTAAAGAATTAGAAGAATTTCCGAGGCTTCATGTTTTCTGTTTTTAAAAGAATTTAAGAAAATCTCGGACTTCTTGGTGTTTGGTTTTTGAAAGAATCTCGGGGCCCTTAGTATCTTTTTTTAAGAATTTAGAAGAATCGTGGAGGTTTCAGGTGTTTCGTTTTTGAAAGAATTAATGTTGGGATTTTTTGGTGTTTCGTTTTTGAAAAAAATTGGAAAAATTTTAAGGCTTTTAGTTTCTTTTTTTTTTGAAAGAAGTAAAAGAAGGGTGACTGCAGGCTATTTGTTTTTGAAAAAATTTAAATCAATTTGGAGGATTCATCGTTTTTTTTTTCTTTTTTGAAAGAATTTGGCGATCCTGATGTTTTGTTTTTGAAAGAATTTCGGGGTTTCTGGTGTTCTATTCTTGCGTAATCTAGAAAAATCCTGGGATTCCCAGTGTCCTTTTTTGAAAAAAATTGAAAGAATTTCAGGTGTTTTATTTCTGCAAAAATTTGAAAAAATCTCGGTTGTTCCTGATGTTTTTTTTCTGAAAAAATTTGAAAGAATTTTGGGAAACCTGGTGTTTTATTTTTGAAACAATTTGGAAGAATCTCGGGGTTTCTGGTGTTCTGTTTTTGAGCAATCTAAAAAAAACTTGGGACTCCTAGTGAGCTTTTTTGAAAGAATTTAAAATAATTAATTTTTGAAAAAATCTGAAAAATCTGGCAGCCGAGAAATATCTTTGTTTAAAATATTTGAACGAATTTTGGCGCTCTTGGTGGTTTGTTTAGGAGTAGTTTGAAATAATCTTGGAGCTTCTGCTGTCCTTTTTTTTATTAGAAGAATTTGCAGGACTTCTCGTATCATTTTTTTAAGAATTTAGAAGAATCGTGGACGTTTCAGGTGTTTCGATTTTGAAAGAATTAATGTTGAGATTATTTGGTGTTCCGTTTTTGAAAAAAATTGAAGGAATCTTGGGGCTCATAGCTTTTTTTTTTTTTGAAAGAATAAAAAGATCGGTGACAGCAGGTTATTTGTTTTTGAAAAAGTTTAAAACCATGTGGGGGGTTCATCGTTTTCTTTTTCGTTTTTGGAAGAATTTGGCGATGCTGGTGTTTTGTTTTTTAATGAATTTGAAAGAATTTCGAGATTTCTAGTGTTCTGTTCTTGAGTAATATAAAAAATTATGGGATTCAAAGTTTCCATTTAAAAAAAAAAAAAAATTAAAAGAATTTCAAGAGCCTCAGGTGTTTTCTTTTTGCAAGAATTTAAAAGAATCTCGGTGGATCCTGATTTTTTTCTGAAAGAATTTGAAAAATTTTTGAGAATTTTGGTGTTGTGTTTTTGAAAAAATTTGAAGGAATCCTGGGATTCTTGGTGTTCTGTTTTTGAGTAATCTAAAAAATCTTGGTACTCCTAGTGTCCTTTTTTGAAAGAATTTAAAAGAATTTCAAGGGCCCCAGGTGTTTTGTTTTTAAAAGATTTAAAAAGAGTCTCGGGATTCTTGGTGTTTGGTTTTTGAAAATCTCGGGAGTCTTAGTGTCTTTTTTTAAGAATTTAGAAGAACTTTGAAGCTTTCAGGTTTTTCGTATTTGAAAGTATGAAAGAATCTCGATAGTTCCAGATATTACGTTTTTGAAAGGATTTAAAAGAATCTCCTGGGTTTGGTGTTTTGTTAAAAAAAAAATTTTTGAGGCTGTTAGTGGGTGTTTTTATGTATTTAGAAAAACCTTGGGAGGTTTCAGGTGTTTCGTTTTTAAAAAAATTTGAAGGAATTAATGTTGAGGTTCTTAGGTGTTTCGTTTTTGGAAAAATTTAAAACAATCTGGAGGGTTCATCGTTTTATTATTTTTTTTTTTTTTGAAAGAATTTGGCGATCCTGGTACTATGTTTTTGGAAGAGTTTGAAAGAATTTCGGAGTTTCAAGTGTTCTGTTCTTGAGCAATATAAAAAAAAATCGTGGGATTCCTAGTGTCCTTTTTTGAAAAAAATTAAAAGAATCCAGATGGATCCTGAAGTTTTTTTTCTGAAAACATTTGAAAGAATTTTGGGAATCCTGGTGTTGTTTTTGAGTAATCTAAAAAATCTTGGGACTCCTACTGT